GGAGAGGATACACCCACCTGCCGTTTCTTCTTCCCTCGGCCGCTGTTTGCGGATCCAGTCGTGACTAAGGAGGTTAATCACAAGTCATGGCTGTTTTCGCCCTCCCGAAATCAAGGAGGGACACTCAACCAATGTGCTCCCGCTCTAACGATGGGCTGGATGGCCAATACCGATATTCAGCCACCGACGAGCCTACGTGCAGTGTTGTCGTATATAGGCAAGTACGTCTCCAAGCCTGAAAAGTCTTCTACGTCGTATACTGAACTACAGGCCCAGGTCCTTCCCTATATGAACGACCGAGCGCCCCTACTGTCCTTTGTATCTAAGATGCTTAACAAGTTGATCGGAGAACGCGACTGGTCAGCGCAAGAGATATCGCACATCCTCTTACAGCTCCCAGTCCAAAAATCCTCACGTATGCTCGTGGGCTTGGACTGTCGCCCGGATAACGTCCAGCGTGACCTGATTGTCCTTGAGTCGGGAGAGGTGACGGCCCAGCGTTTGGTACTGCGGAGGTATCAAGACCGACTTGCGGACACGAAGCATGGAAATGCGGCCCTCGTCGATCTCTCGCTTTTTGACTGTTTACGGCACTGGGATTGGCTAACGTGGAAGGTTCGACCCCGAGCCAGCCCGCGAGTGATTAATTACTACCCCCGGTACTTGAACGATCCGGAATCTCCTGACTATTCGGACTACTGCCGGGTGAGGCTGATGCTCCATCACCCATTTGTAGATTGGGACGACCTGTTGATGGTGGATGGTCGGGTGTATGGGTCCTATATCGATGTTTTTCGGGCCTGTCTCCGCTCGCATACTCGCCCGTGTCGCCGCTCGCATGCTCACCCGGAAGACTTCTATACGGATCCGGACCCGGAATCTGGGGCGTCGGACACGGAGAGCGATGAGGATTCCGAGGAACAGGCGGAGGACCACCCTTTGGCGGACTTTGAAGCATTTGCTCGCCGGAGACCGCATGAAGATTTCACTCGTGTCGACTTGCTCGATAGTCTAGGCTCCCGGGAGATGGACCGTGACTACGATTGGTCCTCCCACGTCGGCCGTTACGACATATCCCCTGACATCTGGGACCAGGTCAAGGCCGAAAACCCGATTGCACAAGTAGTTGCGATGGATCCATCGCCCTTCCCTTTGAATCGAGAACAGAGGATGCTGTACGATGCTGTGGTGAGTCAATATTCTCAGGAACTTGCCTTGGATGCCCCAGTTCCCCGTCAGCTCCTTCTCAACGTGGACGGGGTTGCGGGATCCGGGAAGACCTTCACCCTCCTCAAAACGTGTGCGCGGATTCAAGAGCTCGCACTCGAGGCCGGACGGCAGAACCCAGTCTTCCGAGCTGCTCCTACAGGCATTGCCGCGTTCAACATCATCGGCAAGACACTCCACAGTCTCTTGCGGCTCCCGGTTAAGGGGAAGAAGTCAGATTTGTCAGTCGCTACCTTGCAGTCTTTGCGGTTGCTACCTTGCAGTCTTTGCAGGCCCTGTTTCGGGACTGCCGCTTCCTGATCGTTGACGAGAAGTCGATG